GGGTGGGGGCGTGACCACTGCAAGGCAGGCTCAGTCTGACCCACACGAGAAGGACAAAGCAATGTGAGGATCAGAGGAGAGGGGAACATCTGCTGAGCCTCCAACTGGCAAGGTGCTTGGGGATTTACCATCTCTCCCTGCTTCACTCCGCGAGCCCACATGCATGGCCGAGAGGAAGTTCCGGAGGGACAGTCGTGCTTGTGCCAGCCCCCAGCCAGGGCACCAGGCAAAGGGCTCAGTGTGCACCTGGTGGGTGGACTGTGTCCGGGCGAGGTCAGCCTCAGCCTCCCAAGTCTCCTCCTCCATCGGGGTGGCCCAGCCCTGGCAGGTCCCACAGTGTGCAGGGCCACCAGAGACCTATATGTGGAGGATGCCAACCAAGGGACCAAGAAACAAAGCAGCACGACCTCCAGCCCTTTCCGCGGTGACCGCAGACAAAGCACAGGCAAGCCAGTGAGTTTTACCAAGTTACCATGGCAACATGAGTCGGCGGAGAAACTCCCCCAAGTTAACAGTTTAGTTAAGTGAATTTTAAAGTTCACTGCATCATGGCGACGCCTCGGGGACACCTTGTGTGGCTCAGAACACACAGGGGTCATTCACATATTCATTCAAAAAACTGTACAGGGCTTCCCTGGTGACGCAGTGGTTGAGAATCTGCCTGCCGATGCAGGGGACACGGGTTCGAGCCCTGGTCTGGGAAGATCCCACATGCCGCGGAGCAACTGGGTCCGTGAGCCAGAACTACTGAGTCTGCGCGTCTGGAGCCTGTGCTCCGCAACAAGAGAGGCCGCGATAGTGAGAGGCCCGCGCACAGCGATGAAGAGTGGCCCCCGCTCGCACAGAAACGAAGACACACAGCCAAAAATATAAAATAAAATAAAATAAAAATAAAAATGTACAACATGGAGCAGGGGCTGGAAGGCTGCACCCCGGTGGTGGGCAGCCCTATACTGTAGCCATGATGCTTCCTGTTTTTTTAATTAACTTATTTGTTTTGTTTTGTTTTTGTTTTGGCTGTGTTGGGTCTTCATTTCTGCACACGGGCTTTCTCTAGTTGCGGAGAGCAGGGGCTACTCTTCATTGCGGTGCGTGGGCTTCTCATTGCTGTGGCTTCTCGTTGCAGAACACAGGCTCTAGGCGCACAGGCTTCAGTAGCTGTGACACGCAGGCTCAGTAGTTGTAGCTCGCGGGCTCTAGAGCACAGGCTCAGTAGTTACGGCACACAGGCTTAGTTGCTCCGCAGCATGTGGGATCTTCCCAGGCCAGGGCTCAAACCCATGTCCCTTGCATTGGCAGGCAGATTCTTAACCACTGTGCCACCAGAGAAGCCCGGCCGTGATGTTTTTATGTGTAGTTCTGAAAAGACGTGAGGCATCCTCATGCCATGGAAGGGGGACTCGGGGTGGGCGGGGTCTGTAAATCAGCTTCCACAGCTGAGGTTCACACATAAAAGATGATCCTTCCTTTCAGAGAACCTGGCGTTTTCTAAGGGAATTGTAGAGATTGTTAATGTGGAAGGGGACAACCTAGTTCTCTGCCAACTGCCACCGAGTCTGAGTGCCACTGCTGGGGCCGGTGTTAACCCCGTCACCATGTGCACCTGGCCCTCCTTGCCAGCCCGTCCCAGAGCTCACCTGGCAAGTGACACGCGCCAGGTGTGCCCATGACCCTCAAGCCCCCGGCAGGTGTCCTGGACCTACAGGATGACAGCCGGGGCTGGTGGACTAAGCCAAACAGCGAGGCAGATTCCTTACAGCCAAACTGACCACCACATGCAGACGATGAGCATGGGCACGGACCTCATGGTGTGTGCAACTGTGATGTTTAACTTTGTGTCAACTTGACGGGGCTAATGTATGCCCAGATAGCTGGTAAATCGGTATCTCTGGCTATTTCTCAGAGATTAGCATTTGATTCAGTAGATGGAAGACCTGCCCTCATCAGTGTGGGCTGAGGAAGGGCAAATTCCCTCGCTCTCTGCTTGAGCGGGGACATCCACCTTGCGGTGCCCTTGGCTGTCGGAGCCCCTGGTTCTTGGGCCTTCGGGCTCAGACTGAATCACACCGTCTGCTTTGCCGGGTCTCCAGCTTGCAGTTGGCAGATCATGGGACTTCTCAGCCCCCACAGTCACATGAGCCAGTCCCTATAATAAATCTCCTCCTGCAGATCTATATATATCCTACTGGCTCTGTTTCCTGGAGAATCCTGACTAACAGTAATAAAAGGCTCACTCCTTTCATTCTCTTCTGTCCTCCTGGAGCTACGCTGCTGTTGAGTCCCGGGCCTTTGAATGTGGCTGGCGGGACACCCTCCCCAGGGCCTTCTCTGTCTCCTCCAGGGACGGCAGGCCTCAGCTCTCTGGCACATGGGGTCTATGGTTGCAGCTCCCCAGGAACTGCCTTCATAGTTCTTTCCTCCTCCCGTGGCATCACGAGCGCCCATCTGCCTGCCTTGCTGGTAGACTTGATGCCACCACACCCTGGTCTCTGTTTAAATGGCAAGCGGAGCTCCTTCTGCCCAGTGGCCTCCCTGCCATGCCCCTGCACCCATGAAGGTGGGAAAGAACTCAGGTGGGTGTGGATATCTGGGGCAGAGGGCTCAAGCTCAGGACTCTAGTGGCAGCACCAGGAGCTTGCAGGGCAGGCAGCGCCCCCCGCCCCCCTCCAGGACCAGCTGTGGAGGACACCCCTCCCACCAGGGGAGCAGAGAGCCTCCCCTCACCTCAGGGTGGGCTCCCCCTGCCTCAGGACCAGGGCTTCACGCATTAGGTAAAAAGTGTTTTCTAAACTCTTCACAGGAAAAAGACAGGAAGTAGACACACCACTAAACACCCAGATCACCAGTGATTCTGTTCAGGTGCCCTCCTCCTCCTTCTAAAAACATTTGTGAAGTCCAATGAATAGATATTTTCACAGGAAAATGATTATTTTTCAAGTAAATGCATTTTCTGGCAAAACTCTAGGACCCGTGCTTATGCAAATGGATGGTACAGATGGGGGCAGGGTGGGAGGCAGGGAGGAAGGGGGCACCCAAGCCACATGTCCAGCCAGAGGGCAGACCGACAGCTTTGAGCACCTTGAAGTTTGTAACAAACAGCACAGAAAACAAGCCCAGTATCCAAGTGGCCCCCTTAGGTCCTGGCCGGGGTGTGTGTCAATGAGTGGTCATTGGGGAAGAACTGAGGGTCCAGAGATCCCCCACTCCCTGGGCCTGAGGGAGGGTGCTGGTGACAATGGGGACAGGCCACCTGGAGGACCTAGAAAGTGAGCCCCTAGATGACCAAGGACTAAGTCCTCTGGGGATGTCCCAGCAAAGGACAGACTGCAGGGCAGGTGGGGAGCAACGCTGCCCATGTCACTGGAGGCCGGCAGAGGTCCCTTCTGCAGCCTACATCCCGGGGAGAGGACCCAGGACACAGGTCTTGTGGAGAGGCTTAAACACGCTTCTCCAGCCTCCCTAGTTTGGCATCTCTTTGCCAAGCAAAGGTCTCAAAGCGGGAGAGCAAGGAAGAGAAGACAGCCTGAAATGCCCCCTTCTCTCCACCCAGGCCATGGGAGCCACCTCAGGACACCCACTGGATGCAGGCAGGAGGGGAAAGGAGGCCAGCCTAGGCAGGGGCTGGGGTGGCGGGACAGCCCTGACCCTGGGTTGTGCAAGGGGGACACCCCTGCGTCCTGGCCTCCTCAACACTCTCGAAGCGCTGGAACCCAGACCTCCCCAGCGTGTGTGAGCAGGTCAGAAGGCCAGCCACACTGCCTAGTCCCTGCCCCCCATGCGTGGGAGACAGGGCCATGGGGAGGGAATGTGGATGCAGCACGGTTCCTAGAGGAAAGGCCAGTCTCTGCTTCAGACACTCTTGTTGGAATTGTCAGGTTTGGCGCTCAGGCTGGGCAGGTGGGAGGCAGGTCGCAGGGATCCGAGAGCAGGTGTGGACCAGCTCCTCTGCAGCACACTGTCCCCTGCCTGTCAGAAATGCCAGCAGACACAAGGTCACTGGAGAGCACTGAGAGGCACCCACCTCCTGCACAGCCCTGGGGGTGTGAGTGGCCAGGCTGGGGCGGGCAGCAGGCCACCAAGCTGTGTGCGTCTCCTGGAGGTGGATACGGTGGCCCCCTCTGCCCCCTCCCAGACCTCCACCATCAGTACTCCTCACCCCAGGGACCGGGGGGCCTGCCCAGCACCCACACCCTCCCGCCGCCTGGTTGCCTGCATGCCTCGGGCACTGAGAACGTGTCTGCCGGCCACCAAACCACAGATGGCCAATCAGCAGCTCCTGTCCTACAAACAAGCCCACCTCTGAGACTGGGGTTCTCCACAGAAGCCCACGCCAACTGCAGCTTCACGGTGTGACTGAACGCTGTGAGCTCCTGGGTGTCCCTCCACCACTCCCGCCCCCAGGACGGGACAGGAGCCAGCCAAAGTCCTAGAACATTCCTGCCACCACCCTGCGATGGGGACCCAGGAGGCTTAGGGGCCAGGTCCCAACCAGGGCGGTTACATCTCCTCAGCCATCCTCAAAGGAAGCTGCTGCTCAGAGGACTAGGATGAGCAGGTCTCAAGGGCTGGCCACACCCCTGGGACTGGTGGGGGAGGAGGGGAAGCAGAGAGCATTGGCACCTTCCCCCATCCCCATGGGCCCAGCAAGCCCTCAGGCCCCCAGAGAGGGTCACCCCGGGGAGCTCCCAAAGAAAGGGTTCCCAGCCACTTCAGGCAAGCCATACAGGTTCTGGTTTTCAGGGAGGCCCCAAGGTCTGCGGTGCAGCTCCGTGGGGCTGGCCCCTCCCAGCACCACCCATCTGCCCTGGAAGACTCGAGCCTTGCCCTATGTGTGGAGCAGGGGAACCCAAAAGTGCCTGAGAATACATCTAGAAATACACGTAAGAGACTGAGGAGAAAGGCATCAGGCCCAGCACAGTGGCCATCAGTGCACCAGGTGGGTATTTTGGGGAGGGGGCCAAGGACACAGGTGACCCCTGAAGATGGGAGTGGCACATCACCTAGAGCTTAGCAGAGAAGGATGAGAAGTCTGCCAGCGACTGGATGTCGTTAGGGAATGTCAGCCAGGCCCCACCGTCAACCACCAGCAGGGCCCCCGTCACATAGGATGCCAAAGGGCTGGCCAGGAAGAGGGCGCTGTGGGCGATCTCCGTCTTGTTCCCCAGCCTCTGCAGGGGGCTTGCCAGGACCTTTGCCCTCATGCTGGCCTGTGGGCCACCTGGGAAGCAGCGGGAGGCTCAGCCCCTGTGGGCCCCAGGACCCCGGGGCCCTCCACCCTCCCCTGCCCAGCTTTCCCTGAACCACACCCGGGAATGTTGGTGGCATCGTTAGCATCATCCTGGGGGAGCAGGAACAGGCCAGGTACAGCAACACCACCACAGAACCAGCACAGGGCCTTTCTCTGCTCACACTGCCAAGGCTCTGGAGGCTTCAATGGGGCCCCACTTTGTGTCCAGCTCATACATCAAGGCCAGCAGCCCCTGGCCTCTAGCTCTAGTGGGCAGCTGCGCAAGTCCAGCTGACCCTTAGTCCATTGCAGGGCCGTGCGAACTGTCCCCAGCCTGGAGACGGACTCTTTGCCCACCCTGGGAAGCCATGAGGATTTGGCCCTGATCCCAGGCCTGTCCCAGCCAGGTGGGAGGGGAGCCCTCGGAGGCACGGTGGAGGGGGGGTGGTGCCTGTGCTCAGGGGAGCACCCGCTGGGGGGCCTGGGCTCCTCGGGAGCCTTACCCAGACGCCGGAAGCCCTCTGTGCCGCTGATGGGGCCGGGGGCAAGGCTGTTGACGCGGATGTTCTGGGGGCCCCACTCCACAGCCAGGTGCCGTGTCATCGCATCTGCACGGGAGGCCGAGAGGCATGAGGGAGAAGCAGGGCTGCTCTGCCTTTAGGGAGGCCTGGGTGGGGGTGGGGGGACACTGCCGGCCTCTGGGGACAGGGATGGGGAGGAACCCACGTGGGCAGACCAGAGGGGGCGCCCGTACCCACGGCTGCCTTGGCAGAGCCTGCATGCACTTGGAGCACCTGCCCGCGCGTACCCAGGGTTGCAGTGATGTTCACGATCACCCCTCCATGGTCCTGCAACACATGAGAGGGGCAGTGAGCGGTGGCCAGAAGCGGGGAGGCCCTGGCCGTGGGACACTCACATGGAAGAACTTCTCGTAGAGTACGCGAGACACGTTGAAGGTGCCCAAGGTGTCGATGTCCATCACGGTCTTGAAGGCGTTGGGGGACAAGGCACTGGCAGGGCATAGGAAGTTCCCGGCTGCACCTGCCAGTGGAAGGAGAGAGCGGATGGTGCTGGAGCCCCGGGCAGTTGAAGCATCTGGACCCTCGGGGTGGCCCAGGTTGGCCAGGGAAGGAAACCTGAGCATTTGGACAAGTTCCTGAATGACGGGCAGGATGGGTTTTATGGGTTGGATTGTGTCCCTAAAAAAAATTCGCTGAAGTCCCAACCCCTGGTGCCTGTGAAGGTGACCTTATTTGAAAAGATGGTCTTTGCAGATGTCATCAAGGTAAGAGTAGATCATACTGAATTAGGGTGGCCTAAGCCCAAGGATTGGCATCCTTAAAAAGAAGAGGACACAGACATGCACAGGGGATGGCAGTGTGAAGGAGGCAGAGGCTGGAGGGGTGCAGCCCAGAGCCAAGGCCCACCAGGCAGCAACCCCAGGAGCTGAGGGCAGACTTCTGGCCTCCAGACTGTGAGAGAATATATTTCTGTTGTTTTAAGCTGCCCAGCTTATGACTTTGTTAGTGGCAGGAAAATAATACGCAAGATGTTTTTAAAGGAAATTTCAGCAAAAATGAACCTGAATGTAAAATAGGGACTATAGTTAACCGTATGTATCAATATCGGTTCCCCGGTTGTAACAAATGCAAGGTGTTCATAGTATGTGGAGTTCTCTGTACTATCTGCTCAATTAGTCTGCGAATCTAAAACTATACTAAAACAATAACATGCAGTCCTTTTTCTTTAAGAGGGAATTTCAGGACACAAGAGTGGCCCTACTCTGTGATTCAGCCTAGTTCACAGGGCATCCTCTTGAGCCACAGCTGCACTGACGCGGAAGGAGCTGAGCTGGGCTGAGACAGTGGCCTGGAGCCAGGACAGTTCTGGGGCCTCCAAACAGGGAGATCTGGTATTGCTGACCTGTCAGAAGCCCCCTGGCCAGAAGGCCGAAGCAACGTGGAGGAGACGTTAGTGACTTGAGAGCACGGCCACCACCACTGCCACCATGTGCCTCCTCAACAAGCCCAAGGGTGAGATGACCCCAGAGGAGCTGCAGAAGTGGGAGGAGGAGGAGTTTAACATAGGTCCACTCCCTGTGCTCACACAGTCGGTCAAGAACAACACCCAAGTGCTCATCAGTTGCCGCAACAAGAAGCTCCTGGGCCGTGTGAAGGCCTTTGATAGGCACTGCAACATGGTGCTGGAGAAAGTGAAGGAGGTGTGGACCGAGGTCCCCAAGAATGGCAGGAGCAAGAAGAAGTCCCAGACAGTCAACAAGCACTGCTACATCTCCAAGATGGTCCTGTGTGGGGACTCGGTCACTGTGGTCCTGCGGAACTCGCTCATGCATAGCCAGCAAGAAGGGGCCTCCTCCCCGCAGTCAGAACTTGCCCCCTTGTTTTTCAAAGACCTGCCCTTTGCGCTGGGAATAATAAAGTACTGGGATTTTTCTAAAAAAAAAAGGAAGCCCCCTGGCCTCGCTCAACAGTGACTCACAGTTAATGAGAATGTCAATCTTCCTGAACTCCTTCAGAGCCTGCTCCACGGCTGCCATGATGGCCAGGGGAGCTCGGACGTCCAGAGATAAAGGGAGGCACTTCTGGCCAGTGGCAGCAGCCAGCTTTCTGGCAGCCTAGAAGCCGGACAGGAAGAGAGAGGTGGGCAGCAGGCCGGTGGCCTCAGCCTGGAGGAACAGCCCTTCAGAATCTGATAAGGATGATGAGCCAGGTTCTGCCAGGAAGCCGGGCTCTGCTGCTGAAACCCACTCTGCAGAGACACAGCTGGCAAGTGGCCACTCCCTAGGGCCATGACCCCTGGTGGACGCTGCTAAGACAGCCTGCACCCTCTCCCCTTTCATCACCCTCCAGGCCCCTGGTCACTAGTCACAGGTCAACGGCAGCTCCAGCTGACGTCCAATCCCTGCCCCGAGACCAGCCATGGCAGTGGAGAGACTCTCCACCCTCATGACCCTGGTGAGCCCAGATATCTGTCTTGGGGCCACAGTAACACCCAACATAAGGGTTCCTGCACAGGACCCAATAAGTAGATTCTTTAAAAAGATAAGGATGTCCCTGCGGGCCACTTCCATTAAAGCTCTGTATTTGGAAGAAGGGCAGGTTTTGGTGTAATCATCCTCTGGACCTCAGGACCCTCCAGGCCCAGGCTCCCAGCCCCCAAAGCTACCCATGGACGTATGGGCACAGGAAAGACCCCTTACCATCGACACTCTGGGAAGACTTCTGCTGGCAATGACTGTGTGGCAGCCGTGCCTACAAAGCCAGAGGGCAGGTGTGAGGGCAGCAAGGTGCAAGGGACACGCCCAGCCGGGCTCCTGCCTGGCGCTCGAAGCAAAGGTCCCCCTCCCCAAAGGGTCTCTCAGGCTTAAACACCAGCCTAGGGCTGAAGGCACAGCTAGCAGAGGACACAGGGGCCTCTGTGGGGCTGAGTGACTGTGGCAGGACCTCAGGCAGGCACCACTGGTTTCTGGGCTGGGTTTCTCTAGCATGAGGTATGCCAGCCATGCGGGGATGTGGGCCTTGCCCCAAACACCATGTGAGCAGCTGTGAGTCTCAGACACAGGGCCCAGACTCTGCATGAGTCCTGCTGGGTCCACCTGGGTCTCCCCGGGAGTCTGGAGTGAAGGACAGAGAGCCCATTCCAGGGCCAGGGCACCTCCCCTGCCTTACCTCCCAACAAACCCAGCCTCAAACTCAGTAACAGTACCAGCTACCACCTGCTAAACCAGTCCCACTGAATCCTCAGAACACCACAGCACAACTGGCCACACTCTGCTCAGAGAAGCAACAAAGCTTCCAGCTCGGAAAACAAATTCACCTGGAACGGATGAGTCCCAAAATCTCATCCAGTGGGACATCTCTGAAAAGCAGGGTGCTGAAATAACCAGCTTCACCTCCCCTAACCCCAGCCTAACTCTAGGCCTCTCCTAGGTGGGGGTTACAAACTGTTGACCTGGGCCTGAGACCACAGACCTTGTGTCCCAGGAGACACCGTGCTCTGCATGGTGCCAGGGTCCCACTCGGCCCACCCTGACCCTGGCTCGGCAAGACCCTGGGGGACACTGCAGTAGAATTACCTCAACCTTTGGATCCTCCCGCTTTGTACAAATGGAGGTGCTGAGGCCAGAGCCAAACAGTCTAGACTTATCTCTAGGAGAGGCTGTAGTCCTGCCTCTCCCAGGACAGCACTTGACCCCTTTCGGATGCTCTCTGATGGCCCTGGGGCAAGAGGGGTTCCCACCACCCACCGGCATTTTGCCCAAGATCCTAGGGTCCAGTGGGGTCCATGCAAGGGGGTGGGGAGCAAGATGGGGCACAGAGCACACAGAGCAGTGCTTACCGCATGAAAATCTCAGCAATCCGGAACCCGATTCCAGAGCCACCGCCTGTGATGAAGGCTACCTTGTCCCTGAGAGAAGAAAATAGAGGCTCTTTAAAGAGGCCCCTGTTAAATGGGGGCGGGAGGAGGTGCTCCTGGAGGACATTGACCCTGTGCACTGGGCACTTCTGTCAAATTTGAGAAACGCTGCTTTTTAAAGCCTGCATTCCTCAGCTTTTTGAATCTTTGGGAAGAATGTCTCTATGCATAAAAGTCTCTATGCAGGAAGTTATCAATTAAGTGAGAAATGTTTTCAAAACATACAAGCTTTCCTCCAGCCACCTGCTAAGCGGATAGAGTAGAGGGTTCCTGGAGAAAGAGAAACATGCATGGCTTTCTTTTTTTTTTTTTTAAATAAATTTATTTATTTATTTATTTTTGGCTGTGTTGGGTCTTCGTTTCTGTGCGAGGGCTTTCTCTAGTTGTGGCGAGCAGGGGCCACTCTTCATCGCAGTACGCAGGCCTCTCACTGTCGCGGCCTCTCTTGTTGCGGAGCACAGGCTCCAGATGCACAGGCTCAGTAGTTGTGGCGCACGGGCTTAGTTGCTCCACGGCATGTGGGATCTTCCCAGACTAGGGCTCGAACCCGTGTCCCCTGCATTGGCAGGCAGATTCTTAACCACTGCGCCACCAGGGAAGCCCACGCATGGCTTTCTTGACATAAGAGAAGCATTTTTGGCCTAAGCCATTCTATGATCTAAGCCTGGTCACAGTCTTGTCCTCGAACAGGTCTCAAAAGAATACAGAATCTGGGACTTCCCTGGTGGTCCAGTGGTTAAGACTCCGTGCTCCTGATGCAGGGGCCCCAGGTTGGATCCCTGGTCAGGGAACTAGATCCCGCATGCCACAACTGAAGATCCCACATGCCATCCCCCATGTCACAACTAAGACTCGGTGCTGCCAAATAAATAAAAAATTTTTTAAATAAAAATGGGTAGGGGTCACATATATATGCTGTCTACAGAGATCCACTTCAGACTTAGGGACACATACAGACTGAAAGTGAGAGGATGGAAAAAGATATTCCATGCAAATGGAAATCAAAAGAAAGCTGGAGTAGCAATACTCATATCAGATAAAATAGACTTTAAAATAAAGAATGTTACAAGAGACAAGGAAGGACACTACATAACAATCAAGGGATCAATCCAGGAAGAAGAAATAACAATTATAAATAGATATACACCCAACATAGAGCACCTCAATACATAAGCCAACTGCTAACAGCTATAAAAGAGAAAATCGACAGTAACACAATAATAGTAGGGGACTTTGGGCTTCCCTGGTGGCTCAGTGGTTAAGAATCCGCCTGCCAATGCAGGGGACACAGGTTCAAGCCCTGGCCCAGAAGATCCCACATACTATGGAGCAACTAAGCCCATGCACCACAACTACTGAGCCTGTGCTCTAGAGCCCGTGAGCCACAACTACTGAGCCCACACACCACAACTACTGAAGCCTGTGCACCTAGAGCCTGTGCTCTGCAACAAGAGAAGCCACCGCAATGAGAAGCCTGCACACCGCAACAAAGAGTACCCCTGCTCACTGCAACTAGAGAAAGCCCGCATGCAGTAATGAAGACCCAACAGTCAAAAATAAATAAATAAAATAAATTTTAAAAAATAATAATAATAGTGGGGGACTTTAACACCTCACTTACACCAATGGACAGATCATGCAGACAGAAAATTAATAACAAAACACAAACTTTATGTTTTTGTTTTTGTTTATTTGCGGTACGCGGGCCTCTCACTGTTGTGGCCTCTCCCGCTGCGGAGCACAGGCTCCGGACACGCAGGCTCAGCGGCCATGGCTCACGGGCACAGTTGCTCCACGGCATGTGGGATCTTCCCAGACCGGGGCACGAACCCGTGTCCCCTGCATCGGCAGGCGGACTCTCAACCACCGCGCCACCAGGGAAGCCCCAAAACACAAACTTTAAATGACAAAATAGACCAGATAGATTTAATTGATATTTATAGGACATTCCATCCAAAAACAGCAGATTACACTTTCTTCTCAAGTGCACATGGAACATTCTCCAGGATAGATCACATCTTGGGTCACAAATCAAGCCTCGGTAAATTTAAGAAAATTGAAATCATATCAAGCATCTTTTCCGACCACAACGCTATGAGATTAGAAATCAATTACTGGGGAAAAAAACATAAAAAACACAAACACATGGAGGCTAAACAATACATTACTAAATAACTAAGAGATCACTGAAGAAATCAAAGAGGAATTAAAAAATACCTAGAGACAAATGACAATGAAAACACGATGATCCAAAACCTATGGGATGTAGCAAAAGCAGTTCTAAGAGGGAAGTTTATAGCAATACAAGCCTATCTCAAGAAACAAGAAAAATCTCAAACAATCTAACCTTACACCTAAAGGAACTAAAGAAAGAAGAACAAACAAAACCCAAAGTTAGCAGAAGGAAATAAATCATAAAGATCAGAGCAGAAATAAATGAAATAGAAACAAAGAAAACAACAGCAAAGATCAATAAAACTAAAAGCTGGTTCTTTGAGAAGATAAACAAAATTGATAAACCACTAGCCAGACTCATCAAGAAAAAGAGGGAGAGGACTCAAATCAATAAAATTAGAAATGAAAAAGGAGAAGTTACAACAGACACCACAGAAATACAAAGCATCCTAAGAGACTACTACAAACAACTATTTGCCAATAAAATGGACAACCTGGAAGAAGTGGACAAATTCTTAGAAAGGTATAACCTTCCAAGACTGAACCAGGAAGAAACAGAAAATATGAACAGACCAATCACAAGTAATGAAATTGAAACTGTGATTAAAAATCTTCCAACAAACAAAAGTCCAGGACCAGATGGCTTCACAAGTGAATTCTATCAAACATTTAGAGAAGGGCTAACACCTATCCTTCTCAAACTCTTCCTAAAAATTGCAGAGGAAGGAACACTCCCAAACTCATTCTATGAGGCCACCAGCACCCTGATACCAAAACCAGATAAAGATACTACAAAAAAAGAAAATTACAGACCAATATCACTGATGAATATAGATGCAAAAATCCTCAACAAAATACTAGCAAACTGAATCCAACAACACATTAAAAGGATCATACACCATGATCAAGTGGGATTTATCCCAGGGACGCAAGGATTCTTCAATATATGCAAATCAATCAATGTGATACACCATATTAACAAACTGAAGAATGAAAACCACATGATCATCTCAATAGACGCAGAAAAAGCTTTTGACAAAATTCAACACCCATTTATGATAAAAACTCTCCAGAAAGTGGGCATAGAGGGAACCTACCTCAACATAATAAAGGCCATGTACGAAAAAACCTACAGCAACATCATTATCAATAGTGAAAACCTGAAAGCACTTCCTCTAAGATCAGGAAAAAAAACAAGGATGTCCACTCTCGCCACTATTATTCAGCATAGTTTGGAAGTCCTAACCACTGCAATCAGAGAACAAAAAGAAATAAAAGGAATACAAATTGGAAAAGAAGAAGTAAAACTGTCACTGCAGATGACATGATAATATACAGATAGAATCCTAAAGATGCCACCAGAAAAGTACTAGAGCTAATCAATGAATTTGGTAAAGTTGCAGGATACAAAATTAATGCACAGAAATCTCTTGCATTCCTATACACTAACAACGAAAGATCAGAAAGAGAAATTAAGGAAACAATCCCATTTACCACTGCAACAAAAAGAATAAGATACCTAGGAATAAACCTACCTAAGGAGGTAAAAGACCTGTACTCAGAAAACTATAAGACACTGATGAAAGAAATCAAAGATGACACAAACAGATGGAGATATATACCATGTTCTTGGATTGGAAAAATCAATATTGTGAAAATGACTACTACCCAAAGCAATCTACAGATTTAATGCAATCCCTATCAAATTACCAGTGGCATTTTTTACAGAACTAGAACAAAAAAATCTTAAAATTTGTGTAGAGACACAAAAGATCCCGAATAGCCAAAGCAGACTTGAAGGAAAAAAACGGAGCTGGAGGAATCAGACTCCCTGACTTCAGACTATACTACAAAGCTACAGTAATCAAGACAATATGGTACTGGCACAAAAAGAGAAATACAGATCAGTGGAACAGGATAGAAAGCCCAGAGATAAACCCATGCACCTATGGTCAACTAATCTATGACAAAGGAGGCAAGAATATATAATGGAGAAAAGGTAGTCTCTTCAATAAGTGGTGCTGGGAAAACTGGACAGCTACATATAAAAGAATGAAATTAGAACATTCCCTAACACCGTACACAAAAATAAACTCAAAACGGATTAAAGACTTAAATGTAAGACTGGACACTATAAAACTCTTAGAGGAAAACATAGGAAGAACACTCTTTGGCATAAATCACAGCAAGGTCTTTTTTGACGCAACTCCTAGAGTAATGGAAATAAAAACAAAAATAAACAAATGGGACCTAATGAAACTTAAAAGCTTTTGCACAGCAAAGGAAACTACAGACAAGATGAAAAGACAACCCTCAGAATGGGAGAAAATATTTGCAAATGAAGCAACAAAGGATTACTCTCCAAAATATATAAACAGCTCATGCAGCTCAATATTAAAAAAAACAAACAACCCAATCAAAAAATGGGCAGAAGACCTAAATAGACATTTCTCCAAAGAAGACATACAGATGGCCAAGAGGCACATGAAAAGCTGCTCAACATCACTAATTATTAGAGAAATGCAAATCAAAACTACAATGAGGTATCACCTCACACGGGTTAGAATGGGCATCATCAGAAAATCTGCAAACAACAAATGCTGGAGAGGGTGTGGAGAAAAGGGAACCCTCCTACACTGTTGGTGGGAATGTAAATTGATACAGCCACTATGGAGAACAGTATGGAGGTTCCTTAAAAAACTAAAAATAGAATTACCCTATGACCCAGCAATCCCACTACTGGGCATATACCCAGAGAAAACCATAATTCAAAAAGACACACGCACCCCAATGTTCATGGCAGCATTATTTACAATAGCCAGGTCATGGAAGCAACCTAAGTGCCCATCGACAGACGAATGGATAAAGAAGATGTGGTACAGATATACAATGGAATATTACTCAGCCATAAGAAGGAACGAAATTGGGTCATTTGTAGAGACGTGGATGGACCTAGAGACTGCCATACAGAGTGAAGTAAGTCAGAAAGAGAAAAACAAATATCATATATTAACGCATATATGTGGAACCTAGAAAAATGGTACAGATAACCGGTTTGCAGGGCAGAAATAGAGACACAGATGTAGAGAACAAATGTATGGACACCAAGGGGAGAAAGTGGCGGGGAGGCGGGGTGGTGGGATGAATTGGGAGTTGGGGATTGACATATATACACTAATATGTATAAAATAGATAACTAATAAGAACCTGCTCTATAAAAAAATAAATAAAATAAAATTCAAAAAAAAATGGGTAGGGGTCAAACTCTATCCAAGTTAAAAAAAAAAAAGAATACAGAAACTAACGATTGTCATCAGCAAGAGAAGTAACAATAGCAAAGATAATAAATCAGGTTTAAAGACTCTCAGTTCTGTTTCCATGGTAAAGATTAGCCTGAAGTGCTCAACCATCAGATCAACTGGAACCTCAGGGATGATGACCCTTGTGACTTCAATCAATTAAAGCTTGGTCTCTCAACCGCCCAAACCCTTCATGAATATGCATGCACCTTTAGCTTAAAACTTCCCGAAATTTGCTGTGCAGGGAGACACCGCTTTGGGGAAAATCTCCAATGTTCTCCTTACTTGCTGCTGGTAATAATAAATCCTTCCCTCTCCTGACCTTTGGCTTGGTTGTGTCCTTTGACACTCACCCCCACCTCGGAGCATTACTAATGAACACCCGCCACCACCCACAGGACAAACAGACCGTGCTCACAGCCATACAAAGATCAGAACACCAGCAGTTGCATCTCTGGGGCACCTGGACCTCCGGACAGTCTGGCCACCAGGCATGGGGTCCTGACGCATCCCAGTAAAACCGCAGTCCCCGTGCAGCCCGCACCGCAGGCGCCCCCGCCCCCTGCCCGGCTCCCTGGGGCGCCCCCGACACGGCCCTCACCGAAGCAAGTCCGGACAGAAGAGGTGGCGGTACTCCCGGAGACAGTCGTCCTCCCTGACGTCAGGCGGTGGCTGGGCCATGGCGCTCGGTGCGGGCCTGGGAGGCTAGAACAGCAGGGCCCCGCCGGGATCAGGACTCCGACCTCGTCCTCCGGGGACAGGTGGCGCTGTGCCCGCGCCCTCATCTCTGGCTGGCCTGGGACGAGGAGGCCCGGCCCACCCGGCGCTCGCCCCTCTCGGGACGCCCCGCCTCCGCGTGCTCTCGCTCCTCCCAGGAAGCCCCGCCTCCGCGTCCCCTCGCTCCTCCCAGGACGCTCCAACCACCCCGGCCCTCCCTCTTCCCAGGACAACCGGGTCCTTCCCGGCCCTCCCCCCGCTTCTCCCAGGACGTCCGGCCCCATGGCCGCGCGGCCTGCTGGGACTGGAAGTCACTCTGGGCGCCAAGGTGTGCGCAGGCGCAGTGCGGCGGGCAGGTTTTCGCGGCGGAGGCCCGGTGAACGCGGCTGGGAGCTGTCTGCTTTCCCGACTCCTTTTCACAAGACTGGGCATCAATGCCGGGGTCGGAGCCGGCCGGACACAGGGGACACTTGGTTGCCGGGCTAAGGTGGAGCTCGCGGGCCGGCCCAGGGCCCCTCGGCTTCCCTCACCGCCCTGGGCCCTGCTGTGCATTTAAAACACCTGGTCGGACTCGCCCAGCATTTAAAGTTCCTCGCCTCCTGGACGCTTCCCTTTCCTGTTGCAAAAGTGTGACGTAGAAGAGGGAAGGAGACTAGAGCCCAGAAAAGCCATGGGAAACAAGGAAGGCCCTTCTCTCGAATGGCCAGTCCCAGGGTTGGCTCCCAACATGACGCTTTCGCGGCCAGTACAGTACACTTCATCCGTGCCCTCATGTGTAAGCACAGAGAGCAACCAAAGCCGGGAATCCAGGACCAGCGCTTCCGTCGGTAAGACGTCAAATTTGAGTGAGGACCAAGTCGGCCTCAGCAGGTGTAATGATGTGTGGTGTCCAGTACCTGTAACAAGTGACTGGGGACACACTTGAGGACCAGGCGTAAGTGTGTAGTGTCAGTGTGGTCACCAGCCTTTCTGCCCTGGGGGCGGCTTCAGTTCCCTGCCTACCCCTTCCTGCAACCCTCCAGTCCTGCCCAGGGCTCCTCCTTCAGGGAGAGCACTAGCTCAGGGGCTCAGCTTGGATTCCCCAGATTTCAGGCTGGAGGTCTCTGGACCTCTGCCTGTCTCATACATTCAACAAAGTTATTGATTCCCTCCTGGTGTGTGAGAGATGGTAAGCTTCATTTCTACTTTCAAGCTGCTTACAACTTTGCATAAAAGGCCTCATCCTTACCTCAGAGATGGCAGAGGCTGTAATGAGCACTCCACCCCCACGCACAGCACAGTGAATTTTAATGTCCCCACTCTGGGGGAAGGGAGGTCACACTACCAGCTTTTGGAGGCACCCCAAAGCTTGTCTGGCACTTTGGTACAGAAAGGATTTTGTCCAATCTCTTGCTTGCTTCGGATAATACTAAAAGGCACATAAAGTTGGTGGCTCAACCCCTCTGGGCTGGGGTGGGGCAGCAGGTGGACAGGTGGGTGGGTCTGGGACAGATGGGCAGAGCATGGGTGTGGGCTCAAGGTCTTGTCGACAGAGGTAGTTGGTCCTGGGTGGATGCTGGGGTGACCGAGGGCACCCTGAGTGCTCAGGCTGGATAGATGCTGTTGTGGTGGCCTTCGTCTGCCCAGTCCACCAGCTCACTGCTCTGGAACCACAGCTGGATCTCCCTCTGGGCCCCCTCCACGGAGTCGCTGGCGTGGATGACATTCCTGTGCCAGGTGGCAGAGGTAGGACACAGGCTTCAGTGTGCACCTTGGGGGTCCCAGGGACAGTCTGCTGCGTGCATCTTGGGGGTCCCAGGGACAGTCTGCTGATCCCCTACTGTCGAGGGGAGCAAGCGGGGTGATTGTACAGAGGTGAAAGGAAGAACAGGGGAGCTGCAAAACTGGATTCCAACCTGATCTCAGCTTCTTACCCACAACCTCTGTCCCGTGCCAACCCCCAGGGGGTCTGGCGATAAAGTGAGGTGACAGACAACGATGGCAGAGCACATATAAAACACACAGGGAATGCTTTATCTTCTCCTGTGTGCATGAAAGGGTTTTTAAAAAAACTGCACTAGCAAACGTTAGGTGTGATGTGCCACCAGTAAAAGTCTCCTCTGGCTTTACTTTCCCCTGAGCAAGAAGCCCAGGTCTGGTGGATCTGCCTTGGCAGCAAGCCGCCACCCCAAGCCCCTAGTGAGCTGGCCCTCAGCTCCAAGTGGCCGAGTGTGTTAGGGCCCCCATACCTGCTGATGTGGATGCTGAAGTCTCCCCGGATGGTGCCAGGGGCAGCCTCAGCCGAGTTGGTGTGCCCTATCATAGCCCTCGAGGTGCAGACCACATTGGGGCCTTCCCAGACCTGCAGCACAGAGATAAAGGAGGTGGGGAAAGGTGGGTAACACCAAGGGCTCAGTCCAGGACCCTCCACCCCTCCCACCAACCCTGCCCCGCTGTACCATGGCCACCACCGGGCCGGAGCTCATGTAGCTGATGAGGGCTGGGTAGAAGGGCTTCCTCTGCAGGTCGTGGTAGTGCTCAGCAAGGATGCTCTCTGGTGCCTGGTGCATTGGGGGAAGGGGGTGAGAGGAGCCCCTGGAGAGGGAGCCCCACCAGGCACTGGGACAGTGACATGGTGTACTGATCACAGGGCCCTTTGCAGACGACACCTACATGGGGCAGCACTCCAGCCACAAAAGCACAAGGCAGACACTCCCCACCCCTCCCCTTCTACTGCCAACACCAGGATGTCTTCCTGACGCAGGGCTGAGATGTGAGAAGCCCCCCATCCCAGTCCCCTCAGGGACACCCACAGGCCAAGAGCCCTGGTACCTGCAGCATCTTCATCCCCACCAGCTTGAAGCCCCTCCTCTCAAAGCGCTGGATCACATCCCCAACGAGCCTCCGCTGCACCCCATCTGGCTTCACTGCAACCAGGGTCCGCTCCAGGGTCCAGGAGGGTCCTCCTTTAGAAGAGGGGGGTTCGGGGCTGCCGAGGCCTCACCCTTTCATGTCTCCCGGACCTGGGTTCCCCTGCCGGGACCCAGGTGTCACCTGGACTTCAGAGTGTCTGCCTCAGGCAGAGCAGCTCTGGAGGGGAGGAGTGTGGTGTCCACAGCCAGGACTGTCCAGCATGGTGCTACCCCTTGGGACAAGCAGCACAGGGGGTCCCTGGGGACTTCAGCCTGTCGGAGGGGCCATGGGCCCTCCCAGGCAGTGGCAGAAGCTGCCCATGATAGAGCTGATGTCCCCTAAAAAGGCATCTATCTTAGACAGCCTGGAGGCCTGGGGAGGCACAGTCCAGCTCAGAGGCCACCCAGAGGCCCAAAGATGCCACACTGGAAAGAAAGTACAAGTCTTGGCCTGATTTTCACTCTTGTCCTTTGTGGTGCTAGCACAGACAATGTCTGAACCCCCAACCTGCCACATCAGGAAGGAACTACCACCCATCTTCTGGGTCTCACGTGAAGGAATGGCAGGGAGACAGAAGTGCACTTTCCCCACCGGCTGGGCCACAGACAGCAGGACAAAGGGACCTGGGGATTGAGGAGAAAGGTGGAGGGGTTCCTGTCTGCAGGTGGGGAGAGTTGAGAGGGCTCCTCCCCTCACACCTTCCTTGGCCAGGCTGCTGTGGGGTTCCAGGGCGGGATGCTTCCAGACCTAAAGTCAACACTGCCACAGTCTTCCCCCTCCTGGGGAGACACTGCCCGGAAGACCCCCCAGCATCATCACCCTCCTACAGCCCCAGGCCACTTCCAGAGTTATGCTGACCCTCAGCATTGGGTCCAGGGTCAAGTGTACTTTTGAGAGGAGCCCAGACCCTGGATGTCCAGCTAATTCCTCCAAAGAGGGAGGAGAAAACTGGAGGAGAGAGAAGACGTAGGGTCCAGGAGGGCCAGTGTCCCTGGAGGCATCTGCAGCTGCCTTCCATCCCCAGGAGGAAAATAAACCCAAGTTGTGCAGGGCCTGGAGAGCAGGCAGTGGGTACCCACCACATCCCTTCAGTGAACCGCGCTGGAGGAAGTCCCCCCATCCTTATTCCATCCCCCAAGCCCAGTGCCTGGGGGCCCTGCTGCCAGCTGGCTTGTGCCTCAGCCGGTGGCAGTTCACTCTTGCCAGCATTTGGAACGCCAGGACATCTGCCGCTCAGGAAGGGCCTGAGGGTCAGCAGCTAGGGCAGAGGTCCCTGTGGATACCAGCGGGCAGGGATAGGCCAGAGGGAAAAACGCCCCAGGACGGCAGTGTTCATCTGCTGAGAATGACCCCTCTCAGGAACCCCGGGTCTGCCACAAAGTGTGGCCACCAGGCTTCTGGCTTCCTCCTGCCCTGGAACCCTGGGGACCCCCTGCCCTGAGCACGGTGAGGAGGTGAGCGGGGGCGTGTTGGGCTGGGTGGGAGGGAGCGGGGGTGGGGTGCGCTTAGGGCCCCAGCCCGGCGAGAACCCGACGGTCGCGCAGCTCCAGCCGGCCAGTCCCGAGGCCTCAAGCCCCCTGCGCCAGGGCCCGCACGTGCGCCAGCAGAGGCCTGCGGCGCCTCAGCCCGCCCCACCTCGCGCATGGCCGCCGGGTGGGCGGACTCACCAGAGCTGGAGCGCTCAAGCAGGCTGGCGACCGGGGCCCGCGTGCGGCACATCAGCCTCCGCAGCGCCGCGCGCCCGGAGAGACCGCGCATGACTCCCTGCCCGCGAGTGCTGTCTGAGAGCGCAAGAGAGAGGCCCGGGGATGGAGGGGGAGGGGCAGAGGGAAGAGGGAGGGAGGAGGGTGGAGGGAGAAAAGGAACCTGGGGAAGGGTTGGAGGGACAGAGGGAAGGGGGAGGGAGGGAAAGGGAGGGAGGTGGAGGGGCAGAGGGAGAAAAGGAACCCGGGGAACGGGCAGCGGGAGAAAGGTGGGAGGGGGGGAGGGGAAGGGAGGAGAGGAGGAGGAGTGGAGGGAGGGAGAGCGGCGCAAGGGCCCCATGGCCTCTACCCTCGCGGCCCCACACCGAC